AGTATAGCAATAAGTTTCCACATGAAACACAATCAAATATCGCAAATTATTTTAATCAAAAAAATTCAATTTTAAATATTGATCACTCAACAATTTCAAAAATTTTTTTTAAAAAAAAAAAAGTTTGGCGATTGACAATAATGAAACTAGCATGACAACTTTTTGTTACAAAAAAGTTAAGTTCCCATTATTAGATAAGGCCATGCAACTTTGGGTTGAGCAGGTTATAAGTGATCAAATATTTTTAACAGATTTAATCATTAAAGAAAAGTCTGTATTTTTTGCTTGGGTATTAGGTTTGCCAGATAGCGCATTAAAATTTTCTAATGGTTGGGTCTATAAGTTCAAAAAACAGAATAAGCTACAAAACTATCGGTTATATGGAGAAGCTAATAGTGCATCGATAGAAATACTTCCAGAACAAAGAATAAAATTTTGTAAAATAATAAAAGAATATCCATTAGAAAACGTTTTTAATGTAGATGAGATAGAGCTATTCTTTCAGATGGCACTACATCAAACGCTCTCATTACAACTACAATCAGGATGGAAAAAGGTCTTTATTATATACAAGATTAAACCAGAATAATAAAATAAAAAATTATTTGCATGCTGTTTTTAACAGATTTAAAAATTTTAATTTTGTTTTAATTATTGAATTAACTTTCTTAGGATCGTACATGCATTACTGTGATGTTGACAGCAAACACAACTGGATCTGAAAAATTAAAGCCAATAGTTATTGGATCTTCTATTGAACCCTATGCTCTAGCCTGTTTAAATTATAATACCTTACCTGTTACATACCAGTCAAATTTAAAAGCCTAGATGCAATCAGATATCTTTGCCGAATAGCTTACAAAGCTGATAAGAAGTTTCGCTTGGAAAACTAGCATATTTTGTTGTTAGTTGACAGTGCATTAAGCCATTATAATTCTAATGAATCTAATGAAAATAATGATGAAGATAATGATTCTAATGAAGATGTGTCAGAATCAGACAAAGAATTAAATAGTGAAGAAGAGGAATTAGAAAGTGAAAATTTGGATAATGAAGATAGTCAAACAAGCTCTTCTAGGAACTCTACTCGACGTGGCTATGGTCACCCAAGATTAAGTGCTAGTAACATAAATAAACAAAGTGGATGAAATTCTCGTGGTCATGGTTGTGGTCATGATCGTGGGCAGGCTACTTGTGGTAGCAAGGGTTGTCAGGGCCATGCTCATCCTTATAGACTTCCAGAACCTTCTGAAACTCCTTTAACAAATATCAGGCTTGAGTTCTTGCCACCTCACACTACTGCTCACCTGCAACTGATAGATGCAGGTATCATCAATAGCATTAAAGCAAAGTATAAAAGAAAATACATATGACATATAATTGATCAATTTGAAAAGGAAGAGAATTTAAAAACATAAGGACATATCAATGAGCCTAGTGTTACTAACCTAAAAAGCTTCACTAAGAAAATTTTGCTGTTGGATTAAGGTCAAGTTTTACTATTAGATTAGGTTATAATAATTTTTTAAGAAAAAATTTTTCTTTAATACAAAAGGCAGTTTCATAGCACTATAGCAGATACATATTAAAATTTTGTGGTATAGACAATTTTTGATTTTTTGCGTTATATATGATCTTTGAAATTTGATTGGCCAGTGAAGTTTTTTAAATAGTAATGCTAATGCTGTAGTGTATTTCTTAATATGGCATTCTGGCTGATTGGGATTTTTTTCTAATTTTAGTTTGGTTTCAACAATACTATAATAGCACTGCATATAATATCCAAAATAGTATAATTCAATCATTAGATTAGTGTAGTATCTAGTGCTCAGCACAATCAAACAAAAATTTGACAGTCAAATACTGTTAATACTTGTGATTAAGTCAGGCATCAAATGATTGCAGATTAACCAATAGTATATATTTAGCTTTGGTTAATCTGCAATCATTTGACATCCGATTTAAACATAAGTATTAACA